CCGTGTGTATGGAGCATGAAAAGTGGTTCCAAAGAATAAGGTAGTAGCCCTTGCGCCAGCAACTAATTTCTCATATACAGTCTGCAATATACTTGATAGGGATAGAGATAGGATAGGACCGTCATTTTTTGTACTACATTGATACATTGTCCAGGAACTTCGGCATCGGGACCAGCAGCCGCTCTAGAACCTACCCCAGCGTCGCTTCAATTCACCTACTACAAGTTCACGTGAACAAAAGGTCAGCAAAGCTTGTGTATATCCTAACCGAGGAAGACAGATTTGGTACGGAAAAGCTTTGGCTTTTGGAAAACGAGCTCTTGATGCAGTGTGAATGACAAAAGGGGGGGGGGGTTGTCGTTACTCACACAAACACTGGATAAAGGTTTTGGTCGACGATTGTTCTCTGAAGCCATTACATACACTCCCTATTCCTGAGATGGAGTACGCGTGCATTCAAACATGGCATAGGGTGGGCTTATCGTGGGTGAATTCAATTTGAGACAGCTGTCATCTCGCTCTGTGCAGGACAAAGACATGATTACAACTGTCCCAAAATAAAAATGTCCCATGGAACTTCTTGGCCGCCGCCACGTTCAGTTCACGTACACAGCCACGCCTACCGCATCTCAGGGATTTTGAATGTACGATAGGTCATTGTTTCCGAGACCTTCGATAGGTGTCAAATATGCTTCGCCGCAGCGCGAATCCCGAGCAGGATTATGGATGTGAAGGCAACACTGTTGCACATGTTGTGCTATAATACTTAACAAGTCTGTTGTTGAGATGTGGATCAGCCTAGTTAGTTATTTTGAATAACTCAACTGCTTTCCAATTCAGGTTCCGAGGAAACCGCCGTTACAGCAAAAACTAGTCAATAAAGCATATTTATGCGGGCCCTCAAGTTGCTAGAGGTCTTCCAAAACGTAGGGGTCATCGAATCCTAAATGTAAGATTTTTTCAGCTCTAGCTCTGGACGCCTCTCTAGATCATCGTCGGTGATGAGCGGAATAGACTTCGATGAGGAGTTCATATCTCCTAGCCGAATGAATCCTTTCACGGACCTTGGATTTACAGAGAACATTCCAAATTCTTCGACGGTCAGTTCGCATTTTCAAAGCGATATATTAATGTGCTTGTAAAATACACATATTTGTAGGCATCTACCGCTGACTCCTTCCAAAGGTCTAATAGTATAGAAAGCGAAGCGTCGTCAGGTTTTGGAGGATCGAATGGGCTCACGGTACATTGTATTACTTCAACAACCTTGTAATATTGAAATAACCGCGGTAATATTAGATAATTTCATGAAGTAATCTGTCATTACTTTTTCCGCTGTCGAAAAAATGCACCAAAGGTTTGATATTTCAGCTTCTGCTGACTTGTTTCCGCTCCTAATTTGCTCCTACGACGCTATCCCCTTCCTCAAAGAACAATTATCTTAGGAGACCTTCTCAAGAATTTGTAGTCAAGAAGGGGGTGGGGGGAATGGGTGAAGCTGGGCAGAGACCTCTGACCAACATCAAAAACAGCTTTGTGGCACCCCGATAGCAATCAGAATCATGTCAAATACGACTCCCCCCCACCGCCTTCGAAAGACTATACAACTCGCGTTGAGAATACTATGTAATGTACGATGTGCCCCGGCCACGGAACCTTCCCTTGTGAATGCATCAGAGGGGTGGGGGGGGAGGAAGAATTCGAAGCTCAAAGGCAGTGGGTAGGCTGTCAGCCTCAGTGGTGGACAGGATACAACATCGTGATGGTGCAATACTAGTGTCAGTACGACCCCCTCCCACCTAAGAGAGGGTCTCGGTACGACCCCCTCCTTTCCCAACACCTACCTACCACTTTCCTACAAGTTCCCAGCTTCCTACCAGTTTTTCCGAAATTTCCCACATTTTCCAGTTTTTCACTCAAAAATTTTCCGTCAAGCGAAACGATAGTCAGCAACCAGGAAGAATTTTTTCTCCAACGCGGCAAATTTCTCTCAAAGGCTTACACTCTCCCTCTCCCAACAACGACCAAATACGACCCCCCCCCCATGTGTTTCACACAACGATGCCGTACCCTAGTGGTGGAAGGGCTGCGTGAGGGCCTTTTGCCACACACCACCCAGCCCTTCTACTAGTGACGGCGACATCCGCCCGCCTTCAGCTGTCTTGTTTTTTTTTGTATTGTCTGTGTTTTGCCTATATTGTCCAAGCGAGGGATAGATAGAGGCACTGGGCAATACTGAATGGAGGTTTCGCATCTCGAGGTAAAACGAAATGTAGGAAATTATTAACGCTACAACTCCAACTCTCTTCTCGAACACTTCACTAAGAAGAGAATTCGAGTCGCACGTTAGGACGTCAAAAAGACCTCACTTTGACGTCTTAGCGAGTAAATGACGCAGATTGTTAAAAGTGGAACCAGGGCTTGCCATCGTTGTGATGATCACAAGGGGGGGGGTCGTATTTGACCGCGCGGCGACGGGCGTCGTACTTTGGTACAACGAGAAAATTTTTTTTTAGTTGATTTTCTCTCTGTTTCACGGGAACGCTATAAAGGCGGAAGAAGGTCGTTTTGGCGAATTAGCTGAAATTATAGCTTAAATCCTGACGACCCCCCCCCCCCACTCAACCACCAAAAACCATTATTGGGGAAAAACCAGAAGATTTTTCGGGAAAGTTTTGGGACAAAAAACTAGCGTACAAATTTAGAGAAAATCTAATGGAATTTCCGCCTGTTTTGAAAATATGGGTATATCGCCCTCTTCCCCACCCCTCTCTCCCCCCCCCGCCCCTCAGGCGGAAAAATTGCTTGGTAGAAAAACTGGAAGGTTTTTTCAGGGAAAATTGGAAAAAAGTGATAGGAAGTTTGGAAAAAATCTAGAAGATTGTATTAGGTTGTACCGGAAAGTTCTCAGCGTTTTGCGCACCTATTTTTTGTACATTCACTGCTAATTAAAAACTCATTCCGCCTTGTTTCTCAGTAGCACATCCTTGTAGAGAATTTTCTTGCGTTCCTGAGGGTTGTCTGCCGTTTCACCTATTGGCTTGAATTACCCCTTTTTTTCAAGATTTTTTCAGAAAAAGCATGTGAAAGAGCTTGACGATTTTTTTCTTCGACTATAAATTGGGGCAATCCGCAATCGAAACAGCTCAACAAATTAACCAGGTGTGGGGGCCCAATAGTGCTAGAGAAAGCACTGTGCGGCAATGGCTCAACAAATTCGTTCTGGAGATTTCAGCCTTGAAGGTGAATCTCATAGCGGTCGACCTAAGCAATATCCTTAACGAGGATTTAGGGAGATTTCGGAGGGCTCGACCCATCCAGCAACAAGTTCGAGAGATGCAGAAAGTTAGGCGTTGGCGCCAAATGCACCGTTGCTGTGGTCCTGGAACGCATTGGGAAGGTGAAAAAAACTCGACAATTGGGTGCCCCACAATCGGAGTGACTGGCAGGAATCGGCACGTCTCGAGGTTCCTTCTGCATTGCTTTTGCGCAGCAGAAACGACCTGTTTTTGGACCGAATTGTCACCTGTGATGAAAAATGGGTCATGTATGATAACAGGAGACGTTCCGGACAGTGGTTGGATTTCGACGAACCACCGAGGTAATTTTCAAAGCCGAACCCTCACGAAAAAAGATTCTGGTCACGGCTTGTGGTCTCATCGGGCTGCTGCTGGATCACTATAAGTTTCTTATCACCAGGCCCAAACCAATATCACACAGAACCGCTACTACTGAGAAAATCGACGAATTGTACCGAAAATTTTGTCAGATGCAGCCAACACTTATCAAAAGAAAGGGTCCGATTCCTTTGCATGACAACGCCCGCCCACACGTTTCACAAATCACTATCCATAAATTGAACGAATTGGGGGTTGAAGTTCTACCTGCAACTCGCCATGTTCTGCCAGACGCTTCCACACGCTTGAATATTCCCTTTTCAAACATTTTCAAAACTTCCTTTGCTGGGAAATACTTCATCAAACAGGACCAGGCAAAAAAGCCTTCGTGGATTTCGTGAATTTTCGACCACCCAGTTTTTTACTTTGATGGGATTTCTCGACTGCTGTCACATTGGCAAAAGTGTGCTGATTCGAATGGTGCCTATTTCGATTAAATCCGATGAGTATTAAAAAAGTTACGATCGTTTAAAGTGAAACACCCAAAACGCTGAGAACTTTCCGGACAACCTAAAGGTAACATGGGGAGGGGGGTCGTACTTGAAGATGGAATTAGGGGGGGGGTCGTATTTTTCAGGAAATGATCACAACGCGAATGGCGTGCCCTGAGTGGAATACACGCGGAACACACATTGGGCATTCTGCAACCCTTTGAAAACCTAGTTATAAGGACTTGAGTATATATTAATCAAAGGAATCTCGCACAAATTTCACATTCTCTAATGAATATTACTAGTTTCAGAAGCAAGAATGCGAAGAAACTACATGCCAGCATCAAGATCTTCTCGAGCTTCTAGAAAGGCTTCACGCAGAAATAGCTTTGAAAGATTGTCGTCTGCGGGACGTTGAAGAATATATGGACAGGCTGGTTCGTTATTTTCACGACGCTTGGGAACCTTACATCGTAACTGGATCGGTGGAAGAGTAATAGTGTGGGAGAGCCATTGATATGGAACCCTTTTTAAGTTTCAGATTCTTCTTCAGTATATCTGGGGCCAGGTTTCTAAAGAAAAAATAGGCAGCGAGCACTCTTCAACCTCTGCAGTGATTGAAGTGTTTTCACATCAGACTGCATTGATTGTGAAGAAACACTACTGTACAATGGAAGTCAGCCAAAGAATTCTTTACTCCTTGGGACTTGAGACTGTCGAATAGTGTTGATTGATGAGACAAGCCACCTGAGTCTCCATAATCTTCATATCCATAAGACACCCACACGAGGCTGTTAAATAATCTCTATTGGCCTACGTTTCGGCGGGATCGCCTTCCGGATTCTTTGAATAGTTAGATTTGAGACAGCTGTCGTATTCAGGCAGTGTTCATACTTCGCAACAGCAGGGCCACCACGTCGATCGTAGCGATCGCAGCAATCGTCGGTACGCGTTAGTGAGCGCGCCCCAACGCTATTACTTGGACCGCTCCGAGTACTT